AGCAAAATTCCCACTCCGTTGCTCACGGTATTTGAGTGTTATATCATAGTTCGCTATGGTGCGTCGGTTCGAATTCGACACAGAGTGATGGTTATTTTTTAAAATTTTTTGAGAATAAAGTAAACGCATCCAGATGCGCTCAGTTTTCTGAACGCGTTTTCACACTTGAAAATGTTGCATTTGGGACGCGTACAAACGCGTCCTTATATGTAAACGAGTTGGGATGCTCTTATAATTAAAACGTGTGCAGATGTATTTCTTTAATCTCAACGCGTTTAGACACCCGAAAATGTTGTATTTTGGGCGCGTACGAACACGTCAAGTCCTCTTATACCAAACGCTCAGAAACGCGTCGAAAACTTAAAAATAATTACATGGGGATCAACATGACTCTAACGACTTCTGTTCCATGTTATTAAACTTAAGTAAAGTTAACATCAGATTCGCGTATTTTTTGTCTAGATTCGTTCCTTCATTTGTGTTGTCACCCTAAAGAGTTGTGTTGGATGAAGAATTTCATTCTCTATCGAATGGTGCTATTTTGGAATAGGAGTTATCGGGCAAAAATTTCGCTTCAGATACACCGATGCGTGTGGGTGTTACAGTGAGTGTTGACGAGAGTCTATCACAACTTCTGAAAAAATGATGCTACGCTGTACGAACCGCTTTCTGTAATGCTGGTTCCAAGGTCAAAACGAAACGGCTCATAATCATCTGATGAGAACATGTTCACTTTCGCTAATACTCACTGTGACGCTCACGTCCATCGACATATCTGAGGGAAAATTTTTGCCCGATAACTCACATCGAAAGTGTTTCTATTCGATAGAGATTAAAATTCGGAGTCTAACACAATCAGTTAGAAACTCAACAAAGATAAAAAAAAACGAATCCCGACAAGCATAACTGAGTAATCAAGAAGAAAATTGAGTATTTCATGAGTAAACGCCCGTTTTGCCCGATGTGCCATACTGAAAATAGCACCATTCGATACAGAATAAAATTCTGCATTTAACACCACTCTTTAGGAAGCCAACACAGTTGGAGGAACGAATCCGGAGAAAAAAATATGCGAATCTGGTGCTAACTTTGCTTGCGTGTTATTAACAGAAAATACAAGACATGTGAACCACGCTTATTTCTACCGGTAACGAACGAAATAAAGACCCAGAGTGAGCTCTTGGGTAGGGGTATTAGCATTTTCGTGCATTGATATACTGTTCCCGAAGAGTGCAAACGCATTCGTTATTACGACCCCTAGCTGTTTTCAAAACAAGTCGCGATGTGCACATTTTTCGGCTTAGCTTTTGTTCGATAGGGATTGACATTTGTCTTCCTAAGAATGGCAACCAAAATGAATAATGTAAAAACAACTAAGCGAAAGTGTGAACATACTTCAGTATATTGGAACAATGTAATAAAAACCCATTCTAAGATGCATTCCTATTCTTGGGAATGCTATGCAAAATCGATATCCCTACTCATGACTCGTCACGGAATCTAAAGTTACTTTATGTGTCAATCATGTAACAAAAGTTCACTAAAACAAGATTACAATAGAGTTTTTGGACAATGACCCCAAAAAAGCCATGCAAATGCCTTTTTCGGATTTAATTCACAGAAATCATCAATTTTCATGCATTTCGTTGAATCAAAATCAATTAAAACTAATTTTTCTGACATCTACGCTAGAAAGTTCATCTCTTTTTTTTTCCAAACCGTCGCAAAACATTAAAGGTTTAATCGATTTTAATTGCTTTCTCAAATTAATCTGTTAATATCATTTTTTCAATGAAAATCATATTTAACGATTAAAGAGCTGATCAAATTCAGTCGACTATACTTCACTTCAACCGATTAGACTTTTCATCGATTTCGGCCATTATCATAAGGAAAAGCAGTTTTTATCGATGAGAGTGACAACCATGATTTTAATCGATTCAAATCGAGAAATCGATTTTAATTGATTACATTTTTCATGGGTTTCAGCTCTTTTCATTCAAAAAATCAGTTTTAGTTACTTAAAGCTACCCATGTCTTCAAAATCGCATCGGTTTGGACGAATAATCGCGATTTTTAAAAAAATCGACGATCATATCGCGATGAACAGATGATTATTTCGTCGAAATCTTTATGAATCAAGATCTTTTTGAAAAAAACTGACAAAAAATCGCCTATTTTAACGATTTTATCACGATAGATTGCACGATTAATCGGCATCATAAATCGCGATAAAATCGTCCATTTTTACGGGATTTTGACGACATAGATAGTATAATATCATATGATGTTAAATCATCTGTTTTATCAAAATCCTATCACTTTTGGTGATTATATTCCCATTCTCAAAAAAACATCAGTTCGGACGATTTTATCGCGATTTCGATGACATGGGTAAAATCATGACTTTAATGCGTTAAAATACAGTAATCGATTTTAAACGATCAGATTTTTCATGGATTTTTGGGGATTTTTCCTGAAATAATCGGTTTTAATCGGTTACGGCTCAAGGAAACGTATTATAGTCAATTATTTTATTAGCTTTTATAAAAAAAAACAGCTCTTTTAATCGATTATTTCTGATTGTCCTTCGAAAAATTTGTTTTAACCTGATTTTTAGTTCCAGCAGTGTCACATATCCAAGATTTTGGAGATGCCACCACGTCTTCCGCGGAAGATGCCGCATCTCGCGCGAGAGATGCGGGTGTGGGTGTGGGGGATGCGCATCTCTAAAGGAGATCTTACATCTCCAGTGGTGAATGACCATATCTCTCGAGTGTGGGTGTCGCGTCTCCCGCTGGAGACGCGGCATCTCCCACGGGAGATGTGGTGGCATCTCCAAAATCTTGGATATGTGACACTACTCGTTCAATTGAAGAAATCGACAAAAACCTATTGGACTTTTAATCAATTTTTATGGTTTTTCTTGAGAAAATCAATTATATTAATAAGAAATCAAAGAAACGATTAAATACCCCCCCCCCCCACTCAAAAAAGTCAATTTTCGTCAAAAATTTCGAAATTAAGATAAATGCATAGGACGATAGCCCGTCTTCAGATCTTTCATAAGCGATAATTTGTTTTTCTCGGTACTTCATTTTTTCCAAAAAAATTTCAAGATTTCCGTCAACCCCTATTCGAAAAACCAGCTGGTTTTGGCAAAATCAAAAAATGTTTTTCGTTTTTTCTCGATTTATGATTTTTTGATTTTGGTACAAGGATTTCTCAGTCCGGGTCCGTCCAACATATTTAAATTTTTTTCTTGTTTGAAAGAGCGCGTCGAGATGCAGGTCACTACAGAGTCCTTTTTTTAATTAAGCTTTGTTTTTTATTATATATAAAGACACTTATGTGACTGGACACCCATTTTTGGGGCGTTTTTTGAGTCATTGGACTTGTGATCTCCTTTCTCCGCTAAAAAAGTAAGAATATTAAAAAAAGGACTCTGTAGTGCTCTGCATCCTGACATGCTCTTTCTAACAAAAAAAAATTTAAATATGTTAGACGGGTCCGGACTAAGAAATCCTTGTACCAAAATGACCTATTTTTGACCCTTGTTTGGTGAATATCTCAGTCAAACATCAGGGTATCGAGCTGAAAATTTTATCACAGCCTCCCCACTTCAGCCCCAACATATGCTCCAAATTTCAGCCAATTTGAACATACCTGGGCTGAGATCGATTTTTGAGTGGGGGGGGGGGGAGGAAATTTAATTGATTAAAATGAAATAATCGATTAAAACCAATTAGATTAATCGATTTTCTCTCAGAAAACCGATTATAATGAATCACGAACAAAAGAAATCGATTATAATAGATTAAATGAAACAGTCAATTAAATTCTATTGGATTTTTAATCGATTTTAGTGGTCTCCTTGGCAAAAATGGACATTAATTGATTACATTTCCCGGAATTCATAAAAGTCGATTATTTTATTAAATTTTGTCGAAGATAATCGATTTCTCGTGTTTACTGTTCGAAAAATCTTTTCTAATCTGATTTTTAGGCTTTTTTTACATGGGTAGTGATCGAAAGTCTCACCTGATATTTCACAACATTTCTTCATGTTTTAAAATCAAAGCTGCCCCTGTTTGAATTTTGGAAAAAAGTCAATCGACAGTTTGGCTAGGTTATTTTAGCGAATACGACTGATTAAGCACTGAGAAAGGTTTAGAGACATCATCAATAGCCGGAGTATATGATTGATACCATAGCCATTAACATTTTCTTATTCATAAATGGTAGAAGATGCGACAAAAGATCGCATATTACAAGACAACCAATGGATGACAAAACTCAAATAATAACTCTTTGACAAATAACTGCATGTATGTGAAACCCCTAGTACAGAGCAATCATTATGACGCCGGCTGAACCTTCAACTCACTTTAGAAAACAGATCGCTACGTCCTCATTGTTAAACTATAGTCTAGCACGTAAACTTAGATAACCAAACTATGTTATAAATTTTATCTAATAAATCGAAACCAGTCTGTTCGTGATAGTAATATCTCGTCTCTTTAGCACCAGCTTCTGATGCTCAATCCCGCATTTGGCTCGATGAACGAATTCGTTTCAATCCGAACCAAGCACTTGTGGCAATCTACAATATGCCTTTTCTTTATCGTCTTTGTCCAGAACAAACTTTATCAATTCAACAACTTAAGCAAGCTCTTGAGTTAGTTGCCACGAAACATTCATCACTTCGAACATCACTCAACTTCGACACACAAAAAAATCAACTCATGCAAAAAGTTATCGACTTCAACCAGTATAACATCCATTCGTTTGACTTTATTGAAAGCACTTCCAAAACTGATGAGGAACTTGATCTCATAATGCATGATGAGAAACGAAATTCTCAATTGTTCGATCTTGCTCAGGGTCTTGTCTTTCGGTGTCATATTCTTCGTCAGAACACAATCTCTTCAGAGGACTTTCTTTTCAGCAAAGATGCAATAATATTTAACTTTCATCATGCCGTCTTCGATTATCCATCAATGGATATATTTCTTCATGATCTCAATGAAGCATACAGCACAGGTCAACTTATAACAGATGAAAATATTCCTATGCGTTACCTTGATTGTGAGACGAAATATTTGCTCTTTTTTTCATTAAGATCATTTCTTCTCACTGTTCTCTTATTTAGATGCTGCCATTGAGAAACAACTACCAATGGCAGCTGCAAGTACGTTCTGGCATGAAGCACTCCGCGAATATAAAATCGATCATTTTTTATCCATACCATTCGATCGACATCGTCTTTCTGAAGAGAATCGAACTGGTCGCGGAACATCGGTCTGTTTCGACTTTGGAGAAGACCTTTCTCAGGCTTTTATTGCATATTCATCATCATATGATATAACAGTTGAACAATTAGCACTTGCTAGTTATTATGCTTTTTTGTTCAAATTGACAAATGGAGAAAGTGATTTATGCGTCGGAATGAATGTACATGGAAGATATAGAGAAGAATTGATGTCAGTGATCGGAATGTTTGTCAATGCTATTCCTTTGCGATGTCAATTGAATGTTCATTGGTCTTTTTCTCAACTAATCGATCATGTAAAAGAAATTATGACAAATAGTTTACAGTATTCTTATTTTCCTCTTCAACGAATTCTTGCTCAACATCCACAAACTACCAAACCTGCATTTCTCGAAACATCATTCGAATTTCAATCATATACTTCTGAAAATAGAAAAAAGCAAGTAATGATTGGAAATACTCGACTTCTTGCTGCTCCTATTTCAATCAAGATTGATGATAATGATGTAATGACCAAATTCGATTTTGCTCTTAATATTGAACACGATTTAAATAATGATCAACTTTCATACACAATCAATGCATCACTCGACTTATTTGATAGAATTACAGTCAATAAAATAGCTCAACGATTTCATTTCATGTTAGAACAAATCTTCAACATCAAATATATTCAGATGAAGAAACCA